ACTCCAATCGAAGTTCTTCCGGTCCTCAAAGAACATGTACGCCGTTCGCCCCGCTTTGATGAAGTCCGATGCGTTATCTTTGGCGCGGATCTGTTTCTCGTAGTCTGCGATCACAGTTTTGTCTTCTTCCGTGGTCGTTCCCGAGCTCTCTGCTAATCTGGCTTCGCGGTATCGTCGCAATGAGGTGCCCATGATACCGAGGCGCTCTTCCATGTATGCAATGTGCGCTAGTGATGTGGAGATGGCGCGGCGGTAGGCAAGGAAGAAGTCTGGGTGGTCGACGCAGGAGATATTTGTGCTGGGGACGTGGAGGGAGCCTGCGCCGCCGACGAAGACGAAGTACGATGCGGGCCGTAGCTTGTAGGCGAGCAGGATCTTGCGAACGGATTCTAGGAACGGCACTGTTGTGGGTCAGTCATTGGTTACTAGTATCTTGCTATGGTTGGAACGCACTGTAGAGCAAAGCCCCAGGACCAGCTGTATGCGGTCCGAACTCACTGACGAGGACATCGAGGCCATCGAAAACTTCTGATAGTTCCTCTATGGAGACTTGGTCGACATCTACTGGCCTGGGGATGTAGCGCGGATGTTTCCCTACTTTCTCGGGGTTGCGTGAAATGCCAATAACGGTATGGCCTCGGTTCAGCAACTCGACGGTGAGATAGGAACCGCCAAAACCTGCAGGACCGATAACACCTACCCGGAGGGGCTTTGATGACATGGTGTAATAGAACAATGATGAAGGTATTTGTGATTGCGCTCAGTTTTTGGCCCTTGAGTGTGAAGTAGGTGGGTACATGTCGCGTCGCGTTCACATGACTTCCATGCTATGTCGTCGAATGCAAGGTTACGCGTGTTCAATGGTAATGATTTCGGAGTGGTACGCCGAGGTTGTTGTATTGGGGAAAGGCAATTGGGGAAGTGAGGGGATGATGTGGGGCTTGGGTAAACACCAAGGAGCGAATGACGCTAGCCGATCCAGCGAGTACATGGAAAGAAACATGATGAATGTTGAAAACTGAGGCATCTTAAAGGGTAAAAGTCATCAGAAGGTTGATTCTACTACTGTCTCAAGATAGCGTATCATTTGGAAACATGACGTCGGCAAATAACTACGCGTTCATCGGTGAGCGCTTCAACCCAGTGTCTACGTGGTTTCCACTAACAATGGCAAGGTCTCGGAGCGATGGGCTACGCGATGGCAGCCAACATCCGCAAGAAGATAGACCCATCTTCGACCCTCTACATCAATGACATCAACGCCTCGGCATGCTCCCGCTTCAAAACCCAATACTCGTCCCACGGCCCCATAGAAATCGTCGCTACAGCACGCGAAGCAGCGGAAAACGCGAAAGTACTGATCTCCATCGTACCAGGAGGAGAAGATGTAAGGAAAGTGTATCTAGACGAGAAAGACGGAGTGATAGCAGCGAAAAAAGACCAAGACAGGGTAATGCTAGAATGCAGCACAATCGACGTCAACACTACGAAAGAAGTAGGCCAAAAGCTGAAGGAAGCGGAGATGGGAACATACATCGACGCCCCCGTATCCGGCGGCGTTCCAGCAGCAGAAGCAGGCACATTATCGATGTTGATCGGGCACCCACCACCAGCGCAAACACCAACTTCTTCCGCTTCCCCAGACTCTCGAATCTCGGCGACCCTCACGATGCTTGGCCCACCATCTAAAGCCTTCTACCTGAACACTCTCGGCGCCGGTCTCACCGCCAAGATATGCAACAACTACCTCTCCGGCACCATTCTCCTCGCCACCGCCGAAGCCCTCGCAATAGGCGTATCTCACGGCCTCGACCCCTCCGCTTTATACTCCGTGATCAAGAACAGCACAGGTCAATCTTGGATGTGCGATCACGTCATGCCCATTCCCAATGTGCAGAAGGAGTATTGGGTACCGAGTAACAGTGGTTATAAGCCGGGGTTCAAGACGCAGATGATGCTCAAGGATCTGGGGTTGGGTATCGAGAGCGCGGGTCAGGTTGGGGTGAGGCCGAGTATGGCGGAGAGGGCGTTGGAGGTTTGGGAAGAGGCGGCGAAGGACGAGAGGTGTGTGGATAGGGATGGAAGTAGTATATATTTACATGTTGGAGGTCTTCTACCGAAGGGTTACGAAGACAAAGGGAGGAAGAAAGAGGATGGAACGTGGGAGTTTGCGGAGTAAGGCTTCTGTCATCTTTAATATACATAGTAGTGTCGCGAACCCGTTCTGATGCACTCATGTAGTCTTCGTACCGTCTACTTCCCTTGAAAGAAGTTCTGGAAGACCTCCATAATGGCATCAAACCCAGCCGTCTCTCCCAGCTTGAGTACCCTCTCGTCTCTTCCAATTTTTGCTGGATCACCATCTGGAACCCATCTGCTCGTGACACCATCGGCACTAGGCCCGTAAACCTTGGCACACAGCTTGTCGGTCTTTACCGGCGGCCAAGGGTCCTCCCCGTTGACGAATTTGATGAAGTCTTCTCCGTACTCTCGTGCTACTTTCTGTTGCGCATCGTCCAGGTGCTCGTTGTAGTTCTGGAAGAGGTACGATACATCGAGAATGTGGCCTGCTTCGCCCTTGAAGCGACCTTCCCAAGGTATTCCTTCGTTGAAGTGGTAGAGGAAGAACTTCGAGTCGGGTGTGTTGGGCCAGCCTTGGGCGAAGGCACGAGCGGGCGCGTAGAAAGATATCTCGGAACCAAAGCGCAATATTGAAAGCATGGCCTCTTCGTCCGGAGTCTCGGGGGTTATCTTGTAGGATGTGAGAAGCTGTTCCGCAACCTCTGGCTTGGCGGACAGTGTGGCGTTGCAGGAGTCGATGAACTTTTGTGCGACGCCAGGTTTGCGAGCATCTAGGCCAAGGTATGCGATGATGTTCGCCTGAGAAAAATGAGCTTACATGTCCCGAGAATCACGATAGTAAACTTACGTCCAGCTTTGACTCTCCGATCATGAAGGCCTTGCACCACTTCCTGCCCGGCATCATGAAAACTGGGCTGTCTTCTTGAGATGAGACAGTAAGGAAATCTGGTGAGCCCGGCATGGTCTCTTTGTCGACTGAAGGTAACATCGGTGCTGTGGGTGGCACCTTTTGCCATAGATCATCCAAGGGTATACTGAGGAGGGCCTTGATACGATCCTCGGGCGACTTGTCCGTCAAACCAAATGCATCAATGGCTTTTTGATACGAGGATTCTGCAACAAAATCTGGGATGGGCTTGAACAGTAGCACAGCTCCTCCAGTACTAACACAGCGCTTCATCAGCGGCTCCTCCGAGCAGAGCAGTACTGTCGCAGACACTGCATACGTTAGTCGAGCTCTAGATCAACAGCGTCCAAAACATACGTCCACCGGCGCTCTCTCCGCATACTGTGATCTCATCTGCGTCACCCCCAAATCCGCCTATGAACTTCCTGATCCACTGTAGAGCCGTGCGCTGGTCGTGAAAGCCGTTGTTCGCTTTGTATCCTGCTTTGCGCAATTCTTCGGAGGTCGCAAACCCTGTGAAACCCAGTCGATAGCTGTATCTGTTAGTAGACGGGGTGTGCTTCAGGTTGTAAGACCCACTTGATGGTAATGCCGATGATGGGCTTTTTCCTCTCGACAGACATCTTCACAATGGGAGCTGGATCGTAGTGCGGGTACCAACTACTCCCAACAGCAAAACCGCCTCCATGTATGAAGACAAAGACAGGCAACTTCGCGTTGGAATCAATAGCCCCATCCTTGTTGGTCGGCACAGTGATGTTGAGATTCAGACATTCGAGGTCGGAATGCGTCGGAACCTCTGGAAGTGGCAAGGAATGTTGAATGAAGCCGAACTCACGTTCAATGGCACCGACTGGGGATACTGGTGGGGGTCTGTTTTGTTAGTGAATGGTAATCGATGTTAGCAGTCGACGTACCCAAATTTGGTGGCATCCGTAGTTCCAGATGCATAGCTGTCTACGAGCTGGGGTGCAGCCAAGCGATCTTTTAACGAAGCATACTTCAGGCCAAGGAATTGAACTGCGCCATCTACTGGCTTTCCTTCTACTTCACCCAGGTGTTGGTGCTTGAGGGTCTCCGACATTTTGGCTGCTGCGTGGGATGGGATGGTAGGAAACAAAGGATCGATCCATAGACTAACGAATTGTTTACTATTGCCTAGTGTCTGTTTGGATTGGCTGAAGGAAGATGCGCATCCCTGGAGCTGCTTCTCTGGAAGCAGGTACGTTGGGGGCAATGATGGTCCGATAGTTACCCCGCACCTGTACCTGCCATTTCAGTAGTGGGGCAATCACCCGCGACCAAACATTGCGTGCGGGATGTGGGGGTACTACAGCGACTGCGCCTCGCATCGATGAGGATATCGTAATTCGCTCGACATCTGAGCTCGGCAATTAGCAAGCATGTGTTCGGCTAGATAGAGTGCTACCTAGGTAGATGTACATGTTACACGCAGTCAGCTTCTTGCACAAACGACACCAACAATGGAGGCCGGCCTCCCTCATACTGACGCCTTTGTGAGTCTTGCTCTCCTCGATGGCGGCAGCTTTCTAGGAGATCTGAGCCGCTTGCATGCTGGTGAGAGTGGCACATTTCGCATGTACAACTGGGCGTTTTACATCGCGCATCAGGGAAGACACATACTTTGGGATCTTGGCTTGGATGAGGTGCGTAGGCCAATATCGGGTCTGGCTACCTCAATCTTCTTCTGACTAGTTTCTTGAAGGACCGAAGTTGTTATACCCCTTGGGTTAACAAGTTCATGTTGGATATCGTCAATCACAACGGACCAAGGAGGACTATCGTTCAGCAGTTGGCGCAAAGAGGCGTGGCTGCGGAGGATGTCGATACTGTGTTGTTCAGGTATGGATACAAGGGTGGCGTGAATGAAGTTCGCTGAGCAGCCTGCAGCCACGCTCATTGGGATCACTCGAGGCCTATCAGCGATTTATTTCCAAATGCGATAGCGTACTTTGGTCCCGGCACGAGAGCAGCATGTCAGCCAGGGCATATGAGAGATCAAAGCCTACAGTGGGACGGCCGCTTCTTTGATCCGGAGAACTCGACAGAAAAATGGGATGAGCTACATGGCGTGTGGAAGCCCTTTGGCCCGTTCGAAAGAGCACTGGACTACTTCGGAGACGGCAGTTTCTGGATCCTCGATGCACCTGGCCATATGCCTGGTAACTTGGCTGCTGCTGCAAGGCTGCAAGATGGCGAGTGGGTAATACTTGGCAGCGATTGTATGTTTTCCCATGGAATTTCCATTGGCGCTCGCTAATCTTGTGCTAGGCTGTCATTCGCGGTACGTTAAATTGATTGCACCAGGCGTTTGCTGACGTGCATGGTGTATACGATCGGGCGTTTACTGACCGGTCAGGGATTTGCTGGACGGCACGCGAACAATTGCGGAGTTCCAAGGCCCAGGGGCAGTGAGCATGTCACTGCATACAGACCTTTCTTCAGCGAAAGAAACCATCGCTAAGATAGGACTGCTTGAAACCAATTTTGGTGCTCATACAGCGCTCGCACACGATGCTAGCTGGCTGAAGAAGGGCACGGACCAGGTGCTCATGTCACTGCTGGACGACGAGATGCGAGTTGCAGCCCAGGAAAAGATACCATATGATGAGATACCGTAGATGGAGTTTGAGACACGAACCAGGTTCAGTGTCCGAATGTTGGAGGCCTGATGATCAGTAAACGCGTCGGTGGGTTCGCTACGCGTTTTTTCGTGGCGCGATTGCTGTCCGCAGGTTGGACGCACGAATGTGGAACGCGTCAACGTTATCTTGCTAGATGTCGATAAAGTAACAAGCCAGACGTGAATTGTTTCGAGGTTGCTTAGAGAAGTAAATGCAGACGTCTGTTTTGCTGGGCGATGCTCGCGCATAGTCTATTCCAAGGTTGTGAGTTGGCTGTCTCACCCTAGCCATCACGCTAAAGACGCGCCTACCTGAACACCAACATCATGACGTCTCGCGTCGCAGGGTGCTGTAGCGTCCACACTACAGACAACGCCCCGCCAGCCTTACAAGAAATACCGCAACCTAGGAGCCTAAAGCGCGTGGTAGGCAATGGCAACGGAGGAGATGAAAGAGATGTTCAATAGAGAACACGTGGTGACGGCAGTGGCCATGGCTCAAGCAAGCAACGCCATCTTGTCACACCCTAAAGTCCATCCCCAACATCGCAACTCTCTGACGATACGGGATCGATGCTTCCACGGCCGCAATTTGCAAACATGCGCCTTTCCAACACACGCTAAAGATATCCCACCACCAAGCGCCACAGGATCGCCTAGTGCTGATTTACTCCACTCAAGTGCCAAGATGCCACGATCGGGGGGCCTGGATCAGCACAACCTCATATACCTAGGTACTTCCATCCTCCAAACCTAGCAGATCTTACACTTTAGCCCTTCACAATGGCCCTTCGTGACCTACCATGGGTGACGATACTCTTCTCTGGCATCATTGCGGCGCTCGCATATGGCGTAATGAGATTGATCCAAGTTCGGCGATTTTACAAAGATGTCGTACGTTGGCAGTATTCGGCACGGGCTATAATCAAGACAGTACTGACATTATATCAGCCCAAACCGCCTCATAGCTTCTTCTTCGGTCATTTGAAACTGCTCGGCGAGACCTTCAAATCGCTACCCAGTGATGTACATTATCAAGCAGCGGTGGTTACGATCGCCAGGAAGTACAACATGCCAGGTGTCTTCTACCTCGATTTGTGGCCTGCCTCATTTCAGCAAGTTGTGGTGACAGATCCGGATGTTGCACTTGACATGACAGTCATCCGGAATCACCCCAAACATGAAATGGAGGCAACTATGGTCGACCCCTTGATTGGAAGCGGCAACATCGTCACAACGAACGGCGCACAATGGAAGTATCTTCATAAGATGTTGAGCCCTGCTTTCGCCACTTCGCACATCACCAACATGAGGCCTATGGTTGCTGACGAGGTTATGAAATTCCGGTCGAAGCTTTCTGAGAAAGCTGAATCGGGTGAGGTTTTCAGGTTGGAGGACCATACCCTGTGCATGACGTTTGATGTCATATCGACTATGACCTTTGGCCGATCCCTTGACGCGCAGACCAAAGGTAGCCCTGCTCTGGAGCACTTTGAAAACATGTGCCGTGCTTTTATGACCACGCGAGAGTCTCTGAACTACATCCGCAACTTCTTCGTCAACCGGACGGTTTTCGCCGAACGCGCAAAGTTTGATGCTATCGTGGAAGGGCTCATCAAAGAGAGATTCGAGATAGTCAAACGTAAGAAGCCCAATGGAGTCCACGCATACTTGAACTTCGTGCGGCTAACACATAGCTGCAGGCGACAAGCTCGATCTTTCGGAGAAGCGAGGACTAGGGATCATGGACCTCATCTTGCGAGACTATATTGCAGAGCGACAGGGTGACGTAAAGGAGCTCGACCCCCAATTCACAAAAGATGCTCTCACACAAGTAAAGACTCTTTTGATCGCTGGACTTGGGACTACGTCGGATACCATCTGTTTCGGAGCTATGCTGCTTAGCGTTCACCCTGAAGTGGTACAAAGGATGCGCGAAGAGCACGACCGTGTGTTCACCCCTGGTATCGAAGCGACGTACGAGATGCTTAAGAGGGAGCCGTATAAGCTGAATGAGCTCACCTATACGAACAACGTCATCAAGGAAGTCCTGAGGTTCTATCCGATAGGAAATACCGCACGCAAGGGCATCGATACTCTCACGTATCAGGGCCGCGAATGGCCGACCAAAGATCGCATGATCTGCCCCGTCCAACTGGCTATGCATATGGATCCAGCGATATTCCCAGGCAAGTGACATCTATCGATCCTTCTTTGTAACACATCCGGTGGCTAATGCTTCGTCCAGATCCGCTCAAGTTCGACCCAGATCGGTTTACACGAGAAGACCATCCGCGGCACGCCTGGCGTCCGTTCGAGAGAGGACCGCGTGCGTGTCTGGGCCAACCGCTGGCTATGGACGAGTTCGTGATCGTATTCCTGCTGACAATACGCGATTTCGACTTTACTTGCGCGGATCTGAAACCCAACAAGACGCCTCGAGCAGAGTGGAATAATCTGGATCTGACATTCGGCGATCGCGCCTACCAGGAATTTGTTTTCGAGGCCAAACCACGAGATGGCATGCCGATGACCGTTAAGAAGTCCAACTGGCCATAGTAAGCGCGGCAACGGCTGCCAATTCGGGTCAATGGACGACATCAGTGGCGGTCGCTAGTATGGACTATCCCAGGGCTCCTGCTCCGCAACGCATGTGTGTATGTATTGACTCGGGAGGGGCGGATGGCGGATTGGGGTCGACGTGTCATGGGAAATTAGGAAATGTGCCATGGTTGTCATACGGTCAAGTCTTATTGCCTGATGCACGTTGACAAACTGCCGCGCGACACTGACGGAACCTGGGGTAGGTAACTTCCAAGGTTGGAAGCATGGCTGTTGAGGCATAAGCAAATACCATCAAGGTTCCATCCCGTCTTCCGTCAGCCCACATTGGCGCATCCCTTGCGGATGCTCGGCTGATGCTTATGCGAGACCATCCTGCAATTCCAGTATTTCACCGACGTCTTGTACGTGTAGTTGCCGTGCCCTAAACTTACCGCTTCTCGGGTGCGATGCTTACAGTCGTAGATTTACATTCAGCCTGAATGCATAGCCAGGCGCAGCCAATCGGAGGGCGGGGAGATCCACATAGCGCGAACCCCTCACAGATTTTGCAAGTACCATGGGGCTCCGCATGCGGCTCGGGTACAATCTTGGCTGCCGTATGCCTCTGGGCCAAGCATCGGGAGTGGCTTCGGACACAAGACTGGCTCGGCGCTCGGAAATAAGTGGACTTGCGACCGCTGCTCAACCGCGTGGCCGACGAGACCATGACGTACAGGAATCGTGGGCTATGGTGTTTACCAACCGCGTGCTGACGCAGGGTCGGTGACTACGGCTATTTACTGTGCTATAAGACATGGAGTGAAGACGACGACGAGCTGCATCCGGACCATCCGAACCAAACCAGACAACCGGCGTCATGTTTACCTCGACGCGTGCGCTGCAAGTGTTGGCCTTCGCTGCGACAGGAGCGTATGCTCAATACGTGTTCCCGGACTGCACCAGTGGACGGTTGAGCAACGAGACCATCTGCGATCCTTCGGCGGGTATGTTCATGCACATTTACACACCATTTCGGCCATACTAATGCTTTCCAGCTCCACTGGCTCGTGCGAGAAACCTCGTGTCTCTCTACACTCTCGAGGAGAAGATCAATGCTACGAGCAGTGGCTCGCCAGGCGTTGCTCGTCTCGGCATACCACCTTACCAGTGGTGGAACGAGGGTCTTCACGGCATTGCTGGCCCTTACACCAACTTCAGCGATGAGGGAGAGTTTAGCTACTCCACCTCGTTCCCCCAGCCCATCTTGATGGGTGCGGCTTTCGACGATGAACTCATCACCGAAGTTGCAAAGGTCATCTCCACCGAAGCGCGTGCTTTCAACAACGCGAACAGGACTGGTCTCGACTTCTGGACACCAAACATCAACCCGTTCCGTGACCCTCGCTGGGGACGCGGACAGGAGACACCTGGTGAAGACTCCTACCACCTGTCTTCTTACGTCCAGGCCTTGATCCACGGTCTTCAGGGTGACGCGTCTGACCCGTACAAGCGTGTTGTCGCAACTTGCAAGCATTTCGCAGGTTATGACGTTGAGGACTGGAACGGAAACCTTCGCTACCAGAACGACGTGGAGATCTCTCAGCAGGATATGGTTGAGTACTATCTCGTTCCATTCCAGGCCTGTGTCCAAGCGAACGTCGGTGCTTTCATGTGCAGCTACAATGCGGTCAATGGTGCCCCACCATGTGCCGATCCCTACCTGCTGCAGACCATTCTGCGTGAGCACTGGGGCTGGACGAACGAAGAGCAATGGGTCACATCCGACTGCGATGCTGTTCAGAACGTCTACCTCCCGCACCAGTGGTCATCATCTCGTGGAGGCGCTGCGTACGACTCCCTGAAGGCCGGCACCGATCTTACGTGCGGTACTTACATGCAGGAGCACCTTCCCGCTGCCGTCCAGCAAGGTCTTTTCGATGAAGCTGTCCTTGACCAGGCCCTCGTCCGCCAATACTCCTCGCTCGTCCGTCTCGGCTACTTCGACTCTGCCGACAACCAGCCCTACCGTCAGCTCGGCTTTGACTCGGTTGCCACCAACGCTTCGCAGGCACTCGCACGCAGGGCTGCTGCCGAGGGTATCGTTCTGCTGAAGAACGATGGTACACTGCCACTCTCTGTCGATTCATCTATGTCAATCGGACTTTTCGGTGACTGGGCAAACGCAACCGATCAGCTCCTTGGTAACTACGCCGGTGTTGCTACATACCTTCACTCTCCTCTGTACGCTCTCGAACAACTCAACGTTACCATCAACTATGCTGGCGGAAACCCCGGTGGCCAGGGCGACCCAACGACCAACCGTTGGTCCAACCTCTATGGCGCGTACTCTACCAGCGACGTCCTTATGTACGTCGGCGGTATCGACAACAGCGTTGAGGCGGAAGATGACGACCGTACTTATCTCACATGGACTGGAGCTCAGCTCGATGTTATCAGCCTGCTCGCCGACACCGGAAAGCCAGTCATCGTTGTGGTTACTGGAGGAGGACAGATTGACAACACTCCTCTCGTCAACAACCCCAACATATCTGCCATTCTCTGGGCCGGATACCCTGGTCAGGATGGAGGTTCCGCCATCATCGACATCGTTACCGGAAAGACTGCTCCCGCTGGACGTCTACCTACGACCCAGTACCCCTCCAACTACATCGCCCAGGTCTCTATGATGGACATGAACATGCGCCCTGGTGAGAACAACCCTGGTCGCACCTACAAGTGGTACAACGGTTCCGCCGTCTACGAGTTCGGTCACGGTCTGCACTACACCAACTTCTCCGCCGAAGTCACTAGCGAGCTGCAACAAAGCTACGCCATCTCTGCCCTCACGCAGAACTGCAACAGCACCGGAGGTTTCCTCGAGCGTTGCCCCTTCGTATCTGTCGATGTCGAAGTCTCCAACGATGGCGATGTTAGCTCCGACTACGTCACTCTTGGCTACATTGCTGGAGAGTTCGGTCCCGCGCCCCACCCCAAGAAGTCGCTCGTCTCTTACAAGCGCCTTCACAATATCGCTGGAGGCTCTTCCGCCACTGCCACTCTCAACCTTACTCTCGCATCTCTCGCCAGGGTGGATGAGATGGGCAACAAGGTCCTGTACCCCGGTGACTACACCATGATGATCGACAACCACCCGCTTGCGAGCGTCAACTTTACCTTGACCGGAGAGCATGCGATGCTAGACATGTGGCCTCAGCGTCCTAACCAGATTGCTCAGGGCGTCGAGTACGTTGGTGACTACTGGTACGGAGGTTACGGCAGCGATTACGGCGCTGAGCCTGCGGAGTTCCAGAGCACCATGTAAATGGACTTTCGTATACCTATACATATGAAATGTATATAGCAATCTACCAAGTGACTGCAACTATTACTGAAACACTGGCAACATGTGAATCTACTTCCATCTTCATCTTCACCTTCACCGTCCAACCTGCGCTCGGACCACTGATTTCGTTTGCTACAACGACTAGCTCTTTCCACCTTTTGCCATCTTCACCTTCCTACACGTTTACCCAGCCCCAGTCCTGAACGACCAATCGAGACAGCGATGACGCTTTGCGACGAGTGCGACAACGAGAGCACGCTGCGTTGCAGTGGTTGCGGCTCAAGCTGGTACTGCTCCAAAGAGTGTCAGAAGAAGGCGTGGCCTCTTCACAAGATTCTCTGCAAATACGTCAAGGAATTCCAAGACCGCCCCGAAGCTGAAGGACCTGGCGAGAAGTACACTCGCGCTATCTACTTCCATCCCGATGAAGGCGCGCCGCGATTCGTGTGGCTCAAGACCATGACCGAAGATGGAGAGTACGGACACCCTTGCCTCGCAGCTTGCCCCGGCGCGCTAGTCGCCAACAACGAGAAGGAAACAGAGTCTGAAGAGAAGATTGGTATGACGGATATGAAGATCCGGCATAATCACGCGCTCGCCCGTCGTCTCCCGTACAACTTGTTCCTGTCCTACCGCGAGAACTTTCTTCACGATGGATCGACACACAACATGGCCATCGACAAGATCATCGACCCCAATTCTCCTCACCTGCATGCCTGGCGGGGTCCGATGATTGCGTATGGGACTGATGCCTTCGACGACGTGCCTTTCAGTCAAGATCCGTCTTACAGCCAGGATCTCGGCCCTTCCGACCTTCGTATTATCGCGCACAAGCTCAACACTTACTACTTCAAGTACGCTATTAGTCCGACGATTGAGGACATCAAAGAAGAGTTGAGTAGCGTGGTCGGCGTACGGATCAACTGCGATGGTGATGTGGAAGTTGAAGGCCGTCCTCGCTATGAGCCTATGGAACTTCCAGCCTATCGTTCGTTCTTCCACGCAGCCACCGATGTTTCAGAGCACATTGAGCTACCCTTTGTTGTCCAGCGCATTCCCGGAAGTGTCGCCAAATGGAAAAAGCGACCGGAGACTCCGTCGGGCAACACGTCTTGGGTCAATGTTGCTGGTACATTCCTTAATATTGGCTGCAAGCCCGAGCGTGCAGACACTGCCTTCAACTGGGGCCTCGCACCACCAGAATGGCAGAATGACGTTGGTTCTGTTGTCGTCATGCGAAAAGACAAGAGGCCTCTCCTTCCGATACACGTCTTCGCTCTCGCCGACTATCATCAGCATCGTCTTATGGATATCTTCGAGTCGGAGGGGGAGAGTGTGCATTCAGATGAGGAGCCTGAGCTGAAGCGCGACAAGGCGTGGATCATGAAGCAAATCACCAAGGATAAGTTCGAGGAGTACTACATGACTTGGAAGTCGGGAATGGCAGAGGACGCGCCCCAGATCTCGCCTTACGACTTCTAGTATTGCTGTGAGATCGGCGCCAGGCAACGTGGGCTTCGTCTTCTCGTTCAGAGATCTATCATGTCGAAGTTGGCGTCCATTTTCGGCTTGTATTACCTGGAGCAGACGACGCGCGCACAGTTTCCATGGGTGTTAGCAATGGTTTCGAGAAGAGTCATTACCTAGCTAGTTATTAGTAAAGCTCAACCGATATAGCATGAATCCACTCAGATCACACTCTCGTTTCGTAGGCTTGGTGATGTACTCGCTTCTTCATTATTTGATATGTGTACTTCCCATCCAACCTACAATTTGCTCTTGAAACCGCCCACATCCTTAACAATCATAACCGACATCGGCTCCCTAAGTAGATCCTCCCCATTGACCGCCGATTGTAGCTTCTTCAATCCCGCGCTCTTGGCGTGGAACATCAGAGCATCTTTGTCCGCATATCTGATTACTGTCAGTTTCCGAGTCTGCCCAAGGCTTTGCGGCGTGACTTACGTTTCGAAGATGACAAAGCTCGGCGCGTCGCCCTTGGTTTCGCGCTGTAGGTGATACCGGGTGGTGCCGGGTTCGGTGGCTTTTACTTCTTGGGCTGCGATGTTGAGCAGTTCCTCCACCTGCGGCACGTTAGTTGTTTGTAAATATCGGGGTGCCTATTTCACGCGTACCCTGTCTTGGTTGCCAGGCTTGGGCTTGAGGATGGCGATGATTTCGTAGCCTCTGGACATGATGACGTAATGTTCGACGCGCAATTGCTGGCTCGAGGAGATGCAGATGTTTCAGCGCGCGAAAGAGCTATAATATGCAAGAATATTGAGAGATATGGGATATTCAGATAACGCAGCCAAGCCTGAGGTCGCGTTGTTGAGCTCG